CAGGGCTCCAAGGATCAGGGATTTTCCCCTGAGTTTCATCCCTAACCCCTTTATTTCCCCCTGCCCAACAGGACAGGCGCAGCCCCTGTGCCCGCGCCATCGAGCGCTTCCACCGCGCCGCTCTGCTCGGCCGCTCGCACCGAGGGCACGAACAGTCCCAGGTGATGGCCCAAGCCCTGGCCGAGCTGGCCACCGTCCCCTACCTGCAGAGAGTCTCTCAGGAGGACGACAGGCTGGTAGGTTTGGATTTCCAGCACTCCCTTTGCAGGGCTGGGAGCCAGGGGAGGGAAGGGGCCGGAGGGAATTTGTCCCCTGGAGGGACCTGAAGGAATTTTTTAATCCTCCCTTTCAGCGCCTTGTCAGAGGAGGTGCTGATCGCCTGCAGGGGTAGCTTTGGTAGAACCACCAGGACTCAACTTGTTTAAAACCCTTTCTTTCCCTCCCCCACCCAGACCTCCCCAAATCAGTCTGGGGCAATGATTGTAATCATTCAGATTGTGCCCCCTTGACTTTTCTGGCCTCAAAAGGCACCTGCAGCCCAGTTACAGCTGAGGAGGAGAGGGGGGAAAAGAGGAAAAATTAATTTTCTGTGCTGGGTCCATCCACAAGATACTCCCATATTACTTGGAATAAACCTGGTAATTTGTTAAACTCACTGCAAAGGTGCCATAAATTGGTGAAGAATCAGAGGCTCTTGAGAAAAACGTGGACTGGGCCCTTGGCTGAGCAAACCCAGCTCCAGCAAGGGCCAATGGTGGGAGCAAAAAAGGCCAAAAATTATGATATTAAAGTGGGGTTGGGTAAAAAAGAGGAGGGGGGAAATATCTCTTCTTTGCTCGGTGTGGGACGATGGATAGAGTTGAACCTAGAGGGGATTCAGGATTTTTAAAAGCAGCTGCAGCTCCCTGGATGGGCTGAGGTCGACATGCTCTGCAGTAAAATAATAAATATCTGCTCAGGGGAACAGAACAGAGAGTGGAATGCAGAGGAGACCACCTGGCCCCTCTCCAGGCCAATCCCAGCAGACTGGGAGAACGTTGTGGTACTGAAACCCCAGAGCACCTCTCTGACAAGAGGACAAGCAAGATGTTCTGGTGCTGAAGCCACAAACACGTGGAACCCCCTCCTCAGGGGCCAAAGAACCACCACAACCCCCCTCCCATTAAATACACCTATCAGAAATAAAAGGCATTGATGACAGAGGCGCTCAAACTACACCCAAACAGAATAAAAATAGTATAAAAGTAAGTTTGGAATAGGGGGAAAAGGAGGAAAAGACTTCCACCAAAGCTGCTGGGAGCAGTCAGCAGGCTGAGCTCCTCTTCTTACCCCCCCCAAGAGGGTGGCCTTGGGTGAGAAATAATCTCTGTGCACGTTAAATGCTGCTTTTACCACCAGAGCTTTTTGCTTGTGCTCACCCACAGCGTATTGATTCGATTGCTCCATGTTAGAACTTGTGCTTGCTCAATATATGTACCAGTAGATGGCTTTAAAGCATATTTTTGCAGCAGACACCGTCACCAGCAACCTTCAAACCTGTCCCAATTTGTCACAATCTGTCACAATTTGTATTGATAAAAAGTGTTATTCTGTAAATTGTTAAAGTGAGCCCCTTAAAGCCCTTGGAGATCTCTTAGCAATGGATCTTAATTACTTTTAATGAGTAACAAACTGGGGAAAGAGACTCCAAAAAGTATCATTTGGGTTCACTTCAAGCAACTAAACGTTTTTGGAAGAGACCTCCTGGTGTTCAGCGGTCCCACCAGTATCGAACACCAGTTTCCACCAGTTTGTTCTGTGTGTGATGGATCCAACCCTCCTCTTTCTGCCCCTGAATTACGAGTAACCAGACCATTTCCCAGGGTTTGGGAAGTGTGCAGGATGAGACAGTGCTTGGACTAACCTGGGAAGGGACTGGGGTGAGGCAAAACTGCAGCATTTTAGACCCACAATAAAGCAGCGCGAGGGCTGAACAAAGACGGGTTGCCCACGGAAGATGAGTCACAAAATCACCGGGGTGCAAATTATTTTTAAATTAGCCTTTAACCTGCTTGTTCAGGCGAGTTATCTCCGTGTGAATCCCCCACAATGATGGTTTGTGTCTCGGCCCCGCAGCTGCGGTCGCTGACGGCGGATGCCATGGACATGCTGGCTGGGAGATCCGGAGATCGCGTCTGGACTAAAATACAGAAGGTAAAAAAAAACCTGCAGCAAAGCTGATTGGGAAGGAAATGTCCCCCCTGAGCCCTTTGTCTCTTCAAAAGGCAGGGAAAAAAAAAAAGGAAGTGCTTTATGAAACCAGACCACGCTCCCTCAGCTCTGTCCACGCTCAGGCCACGGGGACGTGTCTGGGATTTGCCATCGCTGCTCTGCAAACGCCGTCACTCCTGACCAGCTGCATCAGGAATGGTGCAGTGTTGTCAGCAGCTGGTATTTCCACCCCAATATGCTATAACAGTGCTTGTTTTGGAAAAATAAACAGCCAAGCCACAGTTCCAGGTGGGAACATCATTGAGGTGGGGGCTCCTGGTGACACCCCCGGCAGCGCAGACACCGCTGGATGGCCCTAAAGGAGCTGCTGGAAATCCTGCTGCTGTTCCAGTGTCCCCTCTGCTGTCACTCCACCCCCTTCCCCCTCACCCAGGACCCGCTTTCCTCGTCCTCACGACACTCTGTGCTCACCCAAAGCCTCCCCAGAATACGAGGGGCACTTTTAACCACAGGAGAAAGTTAAAGCTGACGTTTAATTTGGGCTGTTCCAGAAGAGTCCTGGAGTCTCGGTGGCTGCTGTTAACGTGGCCAAGCCTTTCCAAAACAGGCACCGTGGAATCAGCCCTTTTGAGCCTTTCCCACCTGCTTTTTTGGCCAGCCCATCTGTTTTCCTAAGCTTTTTTATTTCAGCTTCTTCAAAACGGGGCTGGCACCGGGGATTCCTCCAGTTCTCTCTGCACGTTCCTGTGCTGAGCAATCACAGCAGAGCCAGTCCGGGAGCATCTTCAGAGATCCCCAAACTCCCCACATGGCAATGGATCCCTTGGATCAGCTGTGATGGTTCGGACCTGGCTCCCTCTCAAATGCCCAAACTCAAAGTAACAACCCCTTCCCCCTCCTTTCTTCTCTCCGGGCAAAGGAAAAACAAAAACTATAAAAAATTGAAGAACCCAAAATCAAGCTAGTTATATAAAAATATATATATTTTACGTACATTACAGCTATATACACTTAAGATGCCATGAACACAGTGCAGGGAATCCAAACACCCCCTGAAGAGAAAGGGGAAAAAGGGACAAAAGGGGACAAAAAGAGCAAGAGCCCAGGGCAAGTGCCCCTCAAGCTTCACCCCCACAGCAGAAAACTCTTTTCCGTGGCATTATGAACAGCTGATCTCCTGAAAATGCCAGCTCTGTGGGCACAACCAGGAGGTACAGCTCCTGTCACAGACCCCCCTGTGCCCCCTCGGGCACCCCAGGGCAGCAGATGGGAGTTATCCACAAAATTTCCTGCTTGGCCCTCTTGCACACCCCTCACCCCTCACTGACACAGCCCCATGAGCTCCAAAAGCGGGGCTAGAAAGCACTTTAGAACGGCTCAGTAAATGGATAAATACAAGATTAATTGGGATTAATTCCCAGTCAGCTCTGCTGCGTTGTGAGTGAAGAAGTCACACTCCACTGAGTGCCTGTCTGCAGATGAGGACTTTTTGTGGGTTTTTTTAAATTATTTCACCTTCAAATGCAATTGGCAGGTTGATTCTTTAGGATTCCATCATTGTCCAGGGTCTGGATCTCGAGCATAACTCCATAGGAAGGAAGCTGATCCCACAGAAACGCTGCCTGCTGTAACAGCTGACAAAGGCCCTGGATAAAGTTCAGATGTGGGGGAAGGAAGATTGGAAATGATGAGTGCCTGGTACTGCCAGAACACCCGTAAAAACAGTGCTGGGAGTCAACATTCGTGGGTGCAACCCCTGGCAAGGAAATGTGCCCATCCCAGTGTGTTCTTTATCAAAAATAATTCCATTTTACTTCGGGGGAAAGGCTGAGGTCATGTGCTTCTTTTTTTTTCTCTCTCCTCTCCAGTGGGTTGTATTCAAAGGAAAAAATGTTGATTTGGAGCTTCATTTTTGATTTACTAGGAAAAAAAAAAATCTTGCCACAGCCACGTGGAACTCTCGTTTTTCTCCACGTGGTGATTTTTGGCATAGAAATGGCAGGAGCTTCAGTTCTCTTTTCTTATCAAGAAAAAAACTTGCCAGGCAATAATTTCCTCCTCATCCCTTCCTTGTCAGGGTGGTTGTTTTTCAATTCCATTCACAGAGCTGTGAGAAATTCCTGTGTCCATGTACAGATTTCAATGGAAGTGTCTAATCCACAGCAGCAAAATAATTGAATCCAAACAGAAATAAAGATAAATAAATAATTACAAAGTGGGGTTCACTCCTACAGGCAGCTGCCTTCATTTGTTTTTGTTTCTAATGGCAATTAGTTTCGAAATAAATTGAATTTTTTTTAAAATAAATAATAATAAATAAATAAAAATTTGGAAAGAATTGAAAAGGTTTTTAAAATTTTAATGGGGGTGGGGGAACGGACTTGTTTGTGATGCCACCTGTTTTTCATTGCAGCTGGCACTGATAGAGGAGGACCTGAGGGAAGGAGAGGAGGATTTCTTGAGGAGCCAAAGGGTGCAAACATCTGGAATGGAAAGCTTGACCATGGAAAACTCAACTCCAACGGGACAGGAATACCTGAGGCTGGAAAACACAAAAATGTTCATTCCCGACCCACGGAGCTTGGCCACAGAGTCAAAAAGGAGATGCATGGATCTTGTAAATAGTTAATTTTGTGCGGGTTTTTTTTTTGTAGCTGTGGGTTTCTATTTCATAGATAAGCTCATTTTGAATTGTATTAACTTTGTTGCATTCGTTTCTATTTAAATCGTATTAAATGATATTTAATAGTGTAAGTTGTAGTGGTATTACTTTAAATTTAAATGGTATTAAATAATATTTACTTGCATTTCTCATATTTAAACCTAATTGCATTCAATTGTGTTTGTACTCATTTGAAGTTGTATTCATTTATATTTAAATTGTATTAAACTGTATTTATGTATAAATTCTAGTTGGATTAGTTTAAATTTAAATGGCATTAAATAGTATTTACTTGCACTAATTTTAAGTTGTATGAATTGAAATTTAAATGGCATTAAATTGTATTGATTTCTATTAACTTGTGGTATGAATTTAGATTTAAATTCCATTAAATTGTATATACTTGTACTAACTTTGTGCTCATTAAGTTCAAAAGGCATTAAATAGTATTGACTTGGAATAACTTTAAGTGTCATTAACTTAAATTTTAAATTAATTGTATTAAATTGTATTTACTAAATTGCATTAAATTATATTTATTTGTTCTATGTATATTTATAAGTTGTATGAATTTGAATTTAAATTGTATTTAATTGAAAAGTTGTATGATAATATGTTGTTTTATAGTAATATTTACTTGCATTAAGCTGTATTTGTTTAAATTTCAGTTGTACTAAATTGTATAATATTTACTTGATTAAGTTGTATTTGTTTAAATGTCAGCTGTATTAAGCTGTAAGCAGTGGCATTGCATGTGAGTTACGTGACCTGAAATTTAAGTTTTATTCAGTTTTGTTAAATTTAAACGTTATTAAACTCTATTAATTGTTGTAAGCAACAACAGAAGGCCCGGATTTGCTGCTCTGAGAAAATCCCAAACCCTCTAAAATCCACAGTGTCCCTTAATCCCATGGGGTCAGGCAGGATCCCAGGATTCCTTGGTTTCTGTGTCCCTGAGGTGTCACAGTGTCCCCCTGATCCCAGGAGGTGCCAGAGTGTCCCAGTTTCTTGAGCTCTTCCCATCCTACAGTGGGAGGTGCCCATATATGGCCTTCATTTGCATAAAGGGGGCGTGGCTTCCCATGGGGACACATATGCAGTTTGTTTGCACAAAGGGGGCGTGGCTCCACCTCCAATAATCACACACCTTTATTTGCATAAAAGCGGGCGTGGCCCAGCACACCCCCAGCCGGCGCCCTTCATTTGCATAAGGGGGCGTGTCCCTGGCCGGGGGGGCGTGGCCGCAGGGGCGCCTCCCTCTCCAGCAGGTGGCGCAGCCGCTGCTCGAAGGCGCCGTCGCTCTCGGCGGGGCCGCGCCGGGTCCTCCCGGCCGGCAGGTGGCGCTCTGCGGCCGCGCGCAGCTCCGCCCGGTCATAGAGCGGCGCCGGGTCCAGCCCGTGCCGGTTCACCAGCCCCACCAGGTACTCGCTGTAGTGCCCCCTGGCGGCCGGGAGGACCCGCCGGTGAGACAGGGACCCCCAGAGACCCCCAGGAACCCCAAAAGACCCCCCCAACCCCAGAGCCACGTCCCGCTCACGGGACTTCCCCCTTTGTGCCCAATTTTCCCCCCAAACTTGCCCATTTTTGCCCAGTTTTCCCCCAAAATTTCCCACAAACTTCCCGATTTTTGCCCCAAATTTCCCCATTTTTTGCAAGATTTTCCTCCCAAACTTCCCCCATTTCTGCCCAATTTTCCCCAAAATCTCCCACAGACTTCTCAATTTTTGCCCTAAATTACCCCATTTTTTGCAAGAATTTCCCTCCAAAGTTCCCCATTTCTGCTCAATTTCCCCCAAATTTCCCACGAACTTCCCAATTTTTGCCCTAAATTTCCCCATTTTTTGCAAGATTTTCCTCCCAAACTTCCCCATTTTTGCCCAAACTTTCCCATTTTTACCTAAATTTCCCCAAACTTCCCCATTTTACCCCCAATTTTTCCCTTTTTTGCCCGATTTCCCTATTTTTGCCCTATTTCCTCTCAAACTTCCCTATTCTTGCCCCAAATTTGATTTCTGCCAATTCTCCCCAAATTTCCCCAAACGTCCCCATTTTCACCTAATTTTCCCCAAATTTCAAAAAACCTTCCCCATTTTCACCCCAAATTTCCCAATTTCTGCCCAATTTTCCCCAAATAACCCCCAAACTTCTCCATTTTTGCCCAATTTTTCCCCAATTTCCCCATTTTTACCCCAAATCCCCTCCCAGTGCCCCCAAATCCCCTCCCAGTGGCCCCCAAATCCCACCTGCACCCACCAAATCCCCTTCCAGAGACCCCCAAGTGCCCCACAGAGACCCCCAAGCGACCCCAGGGACCCCCAGACCCCCTCTAAGTGACCCACAGTGACCTACAGGGACACCCCAAGTTCCCCCAGCCCCCATTTCACCCCCAAAGTCCCCTGAATACCCCCAAATCCCTCCCAGTGCCCCCAGGACCCCCAGCCCCACCTGCAGAGCCCGGCGTGGCCGGGGGCCGCTTCCTTCCCACACGGCTCATCCCGGAGTGCGGCCCCAAATTCCTTCTGCTCCAGCACCGGGCACCGCCCTGGGGGGACCACGTGGGGTTTGGGGGTCCCAGGTGGGTTTGGGGGTCCCAGGTGGATTTTGGGGGTCTCAGATGGGGTTTGGAGAGTCACAGGTGTGTTTTGGGGGTCCCAGGTGGATTTTGGGGGTCTCAGATGGGGTTTGGAGAGTCACAGGTGTGTTTTGGGGGTCCCAGGTGGGGTTTTAGGGGGTCTCAGATGAGGTTTGGAGAGTGACGGGTGTGCTTTGGGGGGCCCAGGTGGGTTTTGGGGGTCCCACGTGGGCTTTGGGGGGTTCCAGGTGAGCACTGGGGGGGTCCCAGGAGAGTCTGGGGGCAGGTGAGGTTCGGGGGTCCAAAGTGTGTTTTTGGGGGGTCTCCAGTAGATTTTGAGGTATGTCCAGGTATGTTTTGGGGGATCTCAGGTCTGTTTGGGGGGGTCTCAGGTGGGTTTGGGGATCTCAGGTGGGGTTTGGGAAGTGCTGGCTGAGGGTTTGGAGGTCCCAGATGTATCGAGTTTGGGGAGTCCTTGGGGAGGTTTGGGGGGTCCCAGTTGTATCCTGGGGGGGGTCCCAGGTGTGTTTGAGTGGTCCCAGGTGAGGACTGGGGGGGTTCCAAGCGGATTTTGGGAGGTCCCAGGTGTGTTTGGGGAGTCCCAGGTGGGTTTTGGGGACTCCTGGGTGAGGTCTGGGGGATTCCAGGTGGGGTTTGGGGGGTTCCCAGGTGGGGTTTGGGGATCCCAGGTGGGGTCTGGGGGTTCCAGGTGCATTTTTAGGGGTCCCAGGTAGGGTTTGGGGGGGCCCGGTCACCTTCCAGTCCCTCCCAGTCCCCTGAACTCACCTGTGGGGTTGGGGGCATCCGGGCGGCTCCGTTTCAAAGGGGACATTTCCCATCTGACCAAAGACCCCCAAAGTGAACCCCAGGGACCCCCAATCCATTCCCAGTCCCTCCCAGTAACCCCCCCAGTCCCCTCTCAGTCTTCCCCAATCCCCTCCCAGTTCATTCCCAGTCTCCCCCAGTCCCCTCCCAGTCTCCCCCAATCCTCTCCCAGTCCATTCCCAGTCCCCCCAATCCCCTCCCAGTCCCCCCAGTCCCCTCCCAGTCTCCTCCAATCCCCTCCCAGTCTCCCCAGTCCCCTCCCAGTCCCTCCCAGTCGCCCCCAGTCGCACCTGGAGCAGCCTCTGCAGCCGGGGGTCCCAGTCCCTCAGGTAGAACAGACAGTCCCGGGGTGGTGCCTGTGGAGGGACTCCCGCAGGGGGCAGTCGGGGAGGGGCAGGTCTGGGGGCCCAAACAAAGATCTGAGCCCCCAAAATCCCCCAGGATCCCCAAAAACCAAACTAAAATCCCCACAGGATCCCCCCAAACATCCCCAGAGAAAAAAACATAGACCCCAAAATCCCCCAAAAACCGAGACCCCCAAAATCCCCACCCCCACCCCACCCCAAGATCCTCTTAAAGACCCCCCAAGCCTCCCCCAAATCCCCCAGAGACCCTCAAACCACCCCAAACCTCCCCTTAGGGACCCCAGGACTCCCCAACACCCACTGAGATCACCCCAAACTCCCCAAAACCCCCAAACCTCCCATAGAGGCCCCAGGACCCCCCAGTGCCTCCCAATTCCCCCCAAACCTCCCATAGAGGCCCCCAGGACCCCCAGTGCCTCCCAATTCCCCCAAACCTCCCATAGAGGCCCCCAGGACCCCCAGTGCCTCCCAATTCCCCCAAACCTCCCATAGAGGCCCCCAGGACCACCCAGTGCCTCCCAGTTCCCCCATCCCTCCCAGTATATCCCAGTTCTCCCCAGTTCTTTTCCCAGTGCCCCCCAATCCCCTCCCAGTCCCTCCCAGTGCCCCCTCACCCCTGGCCCGTGGAAGGTGGCCCCACAGCCAGCGCAGAACTGGTGCCGGCACTGGGAGCACTGGAAATGCAAACACCCCCCCCGGGCCAGTGCGAACCACACCCCGCACTGGGGGCAAACTGGGGGGGGTTGGGGGTCACTGGGGGGCTCTGAGACCCCCTAAAGACCCCTGGGACCCCCTCAAACTCCCTCTTATCCCCCCACTCTCCCCTCAGGACTCCCCAAATCCAAATGCCACTTTATGGGGCAGAGACCCTCCAAATTCCACCCCTGACCATCCAAATTACCCCCTGGGACCCCCTCAAATCACCACCTCCCCCAAATATGGGACTGAGACCCCCCCGAACCCCTAAATCTCTCTCAGAACCCCCCCCCAGATCTCTCAAATCCTCCTCCCACCCCCCCAGTGGGGAGCAGACACCGCTCCAATCTCTCTTTAGGACCTCCCAAACCTCCCCCAAGCCCCCCCAGGGAACCCCAAAATCTCCTCCAACTCCCCCCAGGGACCCCCAAAATCTCCTCCAACCCCCTCCCAGGACTCCCCAAACCACATCAGATCCCTTCCAACCCTGACAAAGCCCCCACTGGACCCCCCTCACCAATTCCGTGCTCCCCCAGAAAAGCCCCCAGACCCCCCGAGGCTCCTTGGGGGTCCCGGGAGCTCAACCAGGCCCCGAACTCATCACAGGACAGGGTGGAGTGCTGGGGGTCCCACTGTGGGAGGGGGGATTTTGGGGATCACCAGAGACCCCCAGAAACGTCAAAGGATCCCCAAGTAACGCAGAGAGCCCCAAGAACCCCCCCAAACCCTCCTTGGGACACCTCAAAACCTCTCCAGGACCCCTCAAAGACCCCCAGGGATCTCCCAGAGACCCCCTTTAGAAAACCCAAGTAAACCCCCAGGGACCCCCCAAACCCCAGAAGACCCCCAGGAATACCCCAAACACCCCCAAGGGACCCCCACCCCACATTTCCTCCAACCCACCCTCAAACCCTCCCAACATCCCAAACTCCCTTTAGGATTCCCCCAAAACCCCTCACAGAGCCCCCAAAAACCCACCCTGAGATCCCTCAAACCCCTTCCACGACCCCTCAAAGACCCCAGGGATCCCCCAAACCCACCCTGAGACCCCTCAAACCCCCTCCACAACCCCTCAAATTCCCCAGGGATCCCCCAAACCCACCCTGAGACCCCTCAAACCCCCTCCACGACCCCCAGAGACCCCTAGAGACCCCTCAGAGACCACCCCTCCCAAACACCCCCAGCAACCCCTCAAAGCCTCTTTATCCCCCCAAATCCACTCTGGGAGCCCCTAAACCTCCCAGAACCCACCCAAGCACCTCCCCAAATACCCCCAAACCCCTCCAGTCCCCCCCTCAGGGTCCCCCAAAGCCTGGTAGGACCCCCCAGCCCCCTCACCGGGCGCTGGCAGCGGGGGCAGCAGCACTGGTGGCACTGGGGACACTGGGCCGGGCCCCGCTCGGCCTCGAAGATGAACCCAAAGGAGCACTGGGGGGGGAGGGGGGAGCTCAGAGACCCCCCTGGGACCCCCCAAGAACAGCAAAACACCCCCCCAGTAACAACCAGTAACGGTAAACACCAAACCAGTTACAACCAGTAATGGCAAACACAAAACCAGTAACAACCAGCAACACTAAACCCCTTCCCAGTAACTCCCAGTCACTCTCAGTGACCCTAAACTGATTCCCAGGAACCCCCAAAACCCCAAACCAGCAATTCCCAGTAACACCAAACCCCAAACCAGCAATTCCCAGTAACACCAAACCCCACACCTGTCACACCAAAGCCCAAACCAGTAACTCCCAGTAACCATAAAGTCCCTCTCCAGTAACTCCAAATCCCAGTAACTCCCAGTTCCTCCCAGTAACCCTAAAGCACCTCCCTGTCCCTCCCACTGCCCACCAGTTCCCACCCAGTCCTTCCCAGTCCCTCCCCTCCCTCCCACTCCCTCCCAGTTCCCAGTAATCCCTCCCAGCCCTTCCCAGTCCCCTCCCACTCCCTCCCAGTTCCCTCCCAGCCCTTCCCAGTGCCTCCCAGTACATGGGGGCACCACAGGAACTGGGGGTCCCGGAGCAGCTCCAGCTCCGTCAACTTCTGGGTCACGAGGCCGAAGGTGTCGGGGTCCAAACAGCTCCGGAGCTGCGAACCAGTACAGACCAGTACAGACCAGTACAGACCAGTAACCTCAAACACCCTCCCAGCAACCCCAAACCAGTGACTCCCAGTAAGGACCAGTAGCTCCCAGTGACCCCAAACTTCCCGACAGCAGCTCCCAGTTAAGTGCCAATAACCCAGTGCCCTCCCAGTAACCCCAAACCTCCTCCCACTCCTTCCCAGTCCCCCTCATCCCCCTTCCAGTCCCCCACAATCCCCCCCAGTGCCCTCCCAGTCCACGTCCAGTGCCGTCCCAGTCCACCCCCAGTGCCCCCCACTGCCCTCCCAGTACAAACCAGTGGCCCCCAAACCTCCTTTAACACCCTTTAATCCCCTCCCAGTGCCCCCCAATCCCTCCCAGTCCAACCCAGTGCCCTCCCAATCCACCCCCAATTCCTTCCCAATCCCTTCCCAGTTCCCTTCATTCACCTCCCAGTATAAACCAGTGCCCCCAAACCCCCTTTTAACACCCTTTAATCCACTCCCAGTGTCCCCCAATCCCTCCCAGTCCCTCCCAGTGCCCCCCCAACCTCTCAGTCCCTCCCATTCCCCTCCGTTCTACCACCCCATCCCTCCCAGTGCTCCCAGTACCTGTGGTTCCAGTGTGGACCAGTACCAGAGGCGCTGGGCCTCGTCGCGCAGGTCGGGGCGGGAGCAGCTGGGGCAGCCCAGGGCGCCCACGCCCCTCTCCCGGACCCCCACCGTGAAGTGCAGGCGGAAGCACTCGGGGCACAGTGGGCACGAGCACCCCGGCAGCCACTGCATCTGCACCAGCAAACACCAGTAGGGACCAGTCACGCACCAGTAAGGACCAGGCTCGCACCAGTAAGGACCAGCACGCACCAGTAGCCATTATTACACATGGATATAAAAGTGCTCCTGCTGCCCCCGGTGGTCGCAGGTGGAACTGCAGCCAATATAATCCATGAAAACCAGTCACTCCCAGTAACCCTCCAGCAACGACCAGGCACGCACCAGTAAGGACCAGTCACACACCAGTAAGGACCAGTCACACACCAGTAAGGACCAGTCACGCACCAGTAAGGACCAGTCACGCACCAGTGAGGACCAGGCACGCACCAGTGAGGACCAGGCACGCACCAGTAAGGACCAGGCACGCACCAGTCACACACCAGTAAGGACCAGGCACGCACCAGTAAGGACCAGGCATGCACCAGTAAGGACTAGGCACGCACCAGTGAGGACCAGGCACGCATCAGTGAGGACCAGTCACGCACCAGTAAGGACCAGGCACACACCAGTCACGCACCAGTAAGGACCAGTGACGCACCAGTAGCCATTATTACACACAGATCTAACAGTGCTTGTGCTGCCCCCGGTGGTCGCAGGTGGAACTGCAGCCAATATAATCCATGAAAACCAGTCGCTCCCAGTGACCCCCAGTAAGGCCTTAATGCCTCCCAGTAACGCCAACCCCCAAACCAGTAAGCCCAAGTAACTCCAGACGCTAAATGGGTAAGAAGGGCCCCCACCCAGCAGAGCAGCCGGAAGCACTCAGGGCACAAGCAGCCCAGCAGCCAGTACAAACCAGTAAAGACCAGTAAGAGCCCAGTAACACACCAGTAAGCGTTATCACTGTGGACACAGTTAGTGCTGCCCCAAGTGGTCACAGATGGAATTGCAGACAGTAACACACCCAAACTGGGAGCTTCCAGTCACCCCAGTAGCTCCCAGTAATCCTCCAGTAACTCTCCAGGAAGCCCCCAGTAACTCCCAGTAATGCCAAACCCCAAACCAGTAAGTCTCAGTAACTCCAGATCCTAAACCAGTTACTCCCTGTAACAACAAACCCTAAACCAGTAACCCTAACCCCACCCCACTAAGTTTCAGTAACCCTGAACTGGATTCCAGTAACTCCAGACCACAAACCAGTAAGTCCCAGTAACCCTAAACCCTGAATTAGGAACCTCAAGTCCTACACCAGTAACATCAAATGGCCTCCCTGTAACCTTAAACTCATTCCCAATAATTCCCAGTAACCCTAAACTCCAAACCACTAACTCCCAGTAACCCTAACCCTCCAACCAGTAACTCCCAGTAACCCTAAACCCCAAACCACTAAGTCCCAGTAGCTCCCAGTAAGCAGGGCCCCCCCTAGAAGTGCAGTTGGAAGCACTCGGGGTACAACGGGCACAAACAGCCCAGCAGCCACTTCATCTGCACCAGTACAAACCAGTAAGAACCACTAACACACCAGTAATGTCCCAGTAATGGGTTCAACTGGGAAACCGCTTCTGGTGCCTCCCAGTGGCCACAGGTGGAATTGCAGCCAATTCCACCCCTGTACCAGTAACTCCCAGTACAGTAACCCTAAGTTCGCTCCCAGTAGCTCCCAGTAACCCTAAGTTTGCTCCCAGTAGCTCCCAATAACTCCTAGTAACACCAGACACCCTCCCATTAACAGCAAACCCCAAACCAGTAACATCAAACTCCACGTTAGTAAACCTCAACTCTCTCCAGAAACAATAAACCCCCACCCAGTTGCTCCCAGTAAACCCAAACTCCATCCCAGTAACTCCCAAACACCCCAAACCCCCTCCCTATTACAGCAAACCCCTTCCCAGTAACCCCCAGTAACCCCAAACCCCTTCCCACTAACTCCCAGTGACTCCCAGTAACCCTAAACACCCTCCCTGTAACAGCAAACCCCCTCCCTGTAACAGCAAACCCCTTCCCAGTAACTCCCAGTGATTCCCAGTAACCCTAAACGCCCTCCCAGTCCCCTCCCAATCCTCTCCCAATTCCCTCACAGTTCTTCCCAGTACTTCATATCCCCTCTTAACACCCTTTAAGAACCTCCCAGTCCCTCCCAACCCCCTCCCAGTTCCCTCCAATCCCCCAATCCCCTCCCAGTCCCTCCCCATCCCCTCCCAGTCTCTCCCAGTTCCCTCCAATCCCCTCCCAATCCCCTCCCAGTCCCTCCCAATCCCCTCCCAGTCCCTCCCAATCCCCCTCCCAGTCTCTCCCAATCCCCCTCCCAGTCCCTCCCAAGCCCCTCCCAGACCAAACCAGTCCAGCCCAGTAACCAGAGCACAAACCAGTGCCCACCTGTGCCCGGGGCAGGCCCCACCCGCACACGGCGCACTCGCAGCGGAGCCTCCTCCTCAGGGCCGCGCGGTCCGGGCAGTCCTTCACCGCCTCCACCAGTTCTCCCAGTAAGCCCTCGCTGCCGGGCTCCACCTTGCCCAGTCCCAGCTCGCGCCCCAAACTGGCCACCAGTAAGGCCCGGCCCCAACTGGCCACGTCCAGGGTGGCCAAAATCCGCCGGACCAGCGCCTGGGGGGAGGGGAGAGCACGGGTGACCCCATCCCCCAGTAAGGACCAGTAGCTCCCAGTGAGATCAAAGAGCCAACCAGTAACTCCAACTCTCACCAACCCAGTTTGGCCCACTAAGCCCAAACCCAACACCAGTAACACCCAGTGGCTCCCAATAACCCAAACCCCGTAACCAAAAACCCCACACCAGTAACTTCCAGTAAGACTACATCCACTCCCAGTAACGCCCAGTAAACCCAAACCCCCAACCAGTAAATCCCAGTCGCTCCCAATAATTCAAAGTCCTAAACCAGTAAGACCAGTAAGGGCTTGGGACCCCACTGCCTCCCAGTCCCTCACAGACCCCCCAATCCCATCCCAGTGCCTCCCACTCCCTCCCCAATCTCCTCCCAGTCCCTTCCAATCTCCTCCCAGTCCCTTCCAGTTCCCACTTAGTCCTTCCCAGTCCCCGCAATCCCCTCCCAGTTCCCTCCCAGTCCCCCCAATCCCTTCTCAGTCCCCCTCCAACTCCCCGAGTCCCTCCCAGTCCCTCCCAGACCCCCAATCCCATCCCAGTCCCTCCCAATCCCCTCCCAGTTCCCCCAATCCCCTCCCAGTTCCCTCCCAATCCTCTCCCAGTCCCTTCCAGTTCCCATTTAGTCCTTCCCAGTTCCCCCAATCCCTTCTCAGTCCCCCCCACACTCCCCCAGTCCCTCCCAGTTCCCTCCAATCCCCTCCCAGCTCCCTCCCAGTCCCCCCAATCCCCTCCCAGTTCCCTCCCAATCCCTCCCAATCCCCTCCCCAGTCCTTCCCAATCCCCCCCCAGTGCCCCCAGTTCACCTGCTGGTCGGGGCACTCGAAGTCCAGCGCCCCCGGTGGCTGCCAGAGGCGCTGCAGGAAGGGGCGGAGCCGGGGCCGCTGCAGCTCCCGCAGCGCCCCCCACTGGTCCCCTCCGTGTCGCTGCAGCGCCAGCGCCACCTCCCGGCGATCCCGGAACCCCAGCGCTGACAGGGCCCGGAGCTGCGGCCACGAGGGACAGTCAGGACCAGTACGGACCAGTACAGACCAGTACAGATCAGTACAGACCGGTACAGACCAGTACAGACCAGTACAGATCAGTACAGACCAATACAGACCAGTACAGACTGATACAGACCAGTACGGACCAGTACAGATCGGTACAGACCAGTACAGACCAGTACAGATCGGTACAGACCAATACGGACCAGTACAGACCGGTACAGACCAGTACAGACCAGTACAGACCGGTACGGACCAGTACAGACCAATACGGACCAGTACAGACCGGTACAGATCGGTACAGACCAGCACAAACCAACATGAACCACTCTACAGCCTCTGTTCCGTCCCATAAACCACCTGGTATGGACCAGTACAGACCAGTATAGACCAGCACAAACCAGTATGAACCACTCTACGACCTCTGTTTCATCCCATGAACCACCTGCTGTGGACCAGTATAGACCAGTACACACTGGCACAGACCAGCACAAACCACTCTACAGCCTCTGTTCCGTCCCATAAACCACCCAGTGTGGACCAGTACAGACCAGTACAAACTGCTATGAAACAGTACAGACCAGTACAGACCGGTACGAACTGGTACAGACCACCACAAACCAGTATGAACCACTCTACGGCCTCTGTTCCATCCCATGGACCACCTGCTGTGGACCAGTATACACCAGTACGGACTGCTATGAACCAGTACAGACCAGTCAGGACAAATACAGACCCTGCTAGTCCACACTGGTACAGACTGGTCTAGACCAGTACAGCCCAGTATAAACCTGTATAAACCACTCTACAACCTCTATTCCATCCCATAAACCACCTGGTGTAGACCAGTATAGACCAGTTTGGACTGGTATGAACCAGTAGGGACCAGCAGGGAACCGGTACAGACTGATACAAACTACCACGGACCGGTACAAACCAGTATAAACCAGCATAGAACCTGTCTTATGTACCATGAGCCTCCTAGAATGGCCCAGTATAACGGAGTATGAACCAGCATGGGCCAGTACAGTCTGTTACAGACTGCTGTGGACCAGTACAAACCAGTTCAAAACATTAAAACCTCCCCTTCCATCCCATAAACCACCTGGTGTGGACCAGTATAACGGACTGTGCACCAGTAACAACCAGTATGGACTAGTATGGACTGGTACAGACTGGTATGGATTGGTAGAAACCAGAAGGAACCAGTCTACAACCCTTCCTACACCCCATAAACCACCCAGTATGGACCAACCACCAAACCAGTGACTCCCAGTAACCCCAAAGCCCAAACCAGTGACTCCCAGTAATCCCAAGCCTAAGCCCCGCCCCCAGCCCCCCCTCTATTCAGGTCAATCCATGGGACCTCCCACCCATTTAAGCCCCACCCCTTCCCAGACCCTCCCCACCAAGCCCCACCCATCACCTCAGCCCCACCCATCACCTCAACCCCACCCATCACCTCAGCCCCACCCCCAATCACCCCCTTGAGACCCTCTCTGGGACCCCTCCCCTTTAGCCCTCCCCTCACCTGACACCGGCGCTGTCCAATCAGAGCCAGGAGGGCGTGGTCGGGCTGCCCCGCCCCTTTAAGCCACGCCCAGGCGGCCTCACGCAGGGAGGGGGTCCCGAGGGGTCCCCCCTTCTCCAGGGCCCCCCGACGCTCCCCCTCCTCCAGCAGGGCCTGGAGGAGCCCCCCGAGGCGGGCCCTGAACCCCGAAACGACCTCCTGGGGGGAGGGGGGGCTGTGGGGACCCCCGAAATTCCAGAGCATGGCGGGGGAGGGGGCGCAAAGAGGGAGGGGCTTAAAGATTCCGGGGGCAGCCCCTGGGATTCGGCGGCCTGGAGGGGGAAAGGGGGGTCAGGAGGGGAGGAACATCCCCAAATCCACCCAGGGAGCCCCCAGATCCCCACCTGGGATCCCCCAAATGCATCCAAAACCCACCAGAACCCTCCCAAACACAGCCCGGGGAACCCTCAAAACCCCCCAGGACCTCCAAAAACCTCCTAAAAATTGCCCCAAATCCACTCAGGGACCTCCAAAACCCACTGGAGGTCCTCAAAATCCCTCCCAGAACTCCCTAAAACCTCCTAAAAATCCCCCCCGGAGTCCCCCCAAAACCACCCAGGGACGTCCAGAACCCACTGGGGGTCCCCAAAACCCCTTCCAGGACACCCTCTTAACCTCCCCAGGACTCCAGGCCCCCCAAGGGACACCTAAAACCATCCCAAGACCCTTAAAAACCTCCTAAAAATCCCCCTAAACCCCCTCATGAACCCCCGACCCCCCCAGGGATCCACAACATCCCCCCTAAACCCCCAAACGCCCCCAGGGATCCACAACATCCCCCAAATCCCCAAACCCCTCAGGAACCCCCAAACCCCCAGGGATCCACAACACCCCCACAAGCCCCTTTTATCCCACTCAAGCCCCCCCAGAAATCCCCAAAATCCCCAATCCCCCCTCCAGACCCTTTTGTATCCCCCCAGGCCACCCCAGGATCCCCAAAATCCCCCAAGAACCCCCAAAGCCCCTTTTATCCTCCCCAAGCCAATCCAGGATCCCCAAAACTCCCCCAAGAACCTCCCAAAGCCCCTTTATCCCCCTCAAACCCCCCAGAAACCCCCAAAATCCCCAAGTCCCTCCCCGGACCCTGTTGTATCCCCCAAGCCACCCCAGGATCCCCCAAAATCCCCCCAAGAACCCCCAAAATCCCCAAGAACCCCCCAAAGCCTCTTTAATCCCCCTCAAACCCCTCAGAAACCCCCAAAATCCCCCAAGTCCCCTCCCCGGACCCTGTTGTATCCCCCCAAGACACCTCAGGACCCCCAAAATCCCCAAGAACCCCCAAAACCCCTTTAACCCCCAGCCCCCAAATCTCACCCTCACGATCCCCCCAAATCCCCTCAGAATCCCCAAAACCCCTTTAACCCCCCAGCCCCCAGTCTCACCCTCACGAGGGCCACCAATCTCCTGCCGTCGTTCAGGAGCCGCTGCTGCCGCAAAGCATCCCGGGAGGGGGCGTGGCCAGGCGCGGGAGGGGGCGTGGCCGCCAGGGGGCGCTGGCACACGGCGCAGGTGGGGGCGGGGCCTTCGTTCAGGTACGTGCAGTGGGGGCAGGGCCACACCTGGGCAGGCTCGGGGGGGGGCTGAGACCCCCCAAAACTCAGCTGAGACCCCTCCCCAGAATACATTTGGGAGCACTTGAACACCCCCCTCCCCCAGGACCACCCGAACACACCTGAGACCCACCCGAAATACAGCTGGGACCACCCAAAATATACCTGGGACCCACCCGAAATACAGCTGGGACCACCCAAAATATACCTGGGACCCACCCGAAATACAGCTGGGACCACCCAAAATGTCCCTGGGATCCACCTAAACACACCTGGAACATCCCAAAATACAGCTGGGACCACCCAAAATATACCTGGGATCCACCCAAACACACCTGGAACACCCCAAAATACAGCTGGGACCACCCAAAATAGAGCTGGGACCACCCAAAATGTACCTGGGACCCACCCAAACACACCTGGAACACCCCAAAATACAGCTGGGACCACCCAAAATACAGCTGGGACCACCCAAAATATACCTGGGACTACTCAAAACTCACCTGGGACCCACCCAAAAACAAGTAGGGTCCCAAAAAACACACCTGGGAACCCTCCAAAATCCACCTGGAACCCACCCAAAATACATCTGGGACCACTCAAACCCCACTCTGGGACCTCCCTAAAACAGACCTGGGATTCTCCAAAATACACCTCAAAATGCCCCTGGGACCCCCTAAAACTCACCTGGGAGTCACTAAAACATAACTTGGACCCCCCAAAACACACCTGGGACCCCCGAAAACAACCCTATGATGACCCAAAACACACCTGGGACCCCCAAAATATACTCATGACCCATCAAAACACACCTTGTACCCCAAAAAACACTCTTGGGACCCCCCAGACACCCCCCAAAACACACCTGGGATCCCCCAAAAACACATCTGGCATGCCTCAAAATACACCTGGGACCCCCAAAAACACACCTGGGACTCCCCAAAACACATCTGGGACCCCCAAAATACACTCATGACCCATCAAAACACACCTTGATTCCCAAAAAACACCCCTGGGACCACCCCAGACACCCCCCAAAACACACCTGGGACCCCCTAAACACACTCGAGACCCCCCCAAACACACCCAGGACCCCCTCCAAATACACCTGGGACCCCCAAAAACACACCTGGGACCGCCCAAAAACACACCTGGGACCCCCCAAAAACACACCTGGCATGCCTCAAAATATACCTGGGACTCCCCAAAACCCACTCAGGATCCCTCCCCCCAGACCCACCTGCTGGGTGTGGCTCGGCCTCCGGGCCAGGCGGGGGCGCTCACAGACCCCACAGAGGACACTCTGGGGGGGGTTCAGGAAGGTACAAGAAGCGCAGGCCCAGCCCCCCCCCTCCCCCAAATTTGGGGGGTCTTGGGGGGGTCCCTGGGGGACTTCACCTGGAGAGGAAGGGGGGGGCACGTGTAGGACCCACAGAGAATCCCAAATTACCCCCTTGGACCCCCTCAATGCCCCCCAAAAGGTACAGGAAGGTCATTAAAGAAAAAAAAAATCCCAAATAACCCCCCCCAAAAATACAAAGAAAAGAAAAAAAAAAATCCCCAAAAAATCCCAGGACCACCCCCGACATCCCACCCAGAACCCCCAAACACCCCCCAAAACCCCTCAAACTTCCCCAGGACTCCCAGCTCCCCCAAAAGGTCACAATAGGTCACAAAATCCCAACTAAATCCTCCAAAAGACTCCAAAAATCTCCTATAAAAAGAATCCAGAGACCCCCCAACACCTCCCAAACCTCCACCTGGGACCCCTCAACTTCCTCCCTCCCCCAACCCCAAAATCCTGACAGGTCACCAAAAAAAAAAACCAACCCAAAATTCCAAAGAAATCCCACAAAAAAATCCCCCACAAAATCTCAGGATCCCCAACCCACACAACCCGTTATAGCGCCCCCTACCGGCCGGGAGGACCCCGTCTGCTGTGGGCATCGCGTCAGACACGAGTGGCTGCTGGGGGGCGCCAGAGAGACCAGTATGGACCAGTATAAACCAGTACGGGCCAGTAACTGCTCATTTAACAGCCTGGTATACTGGTACAGACCAGTATAGACTGGCATGGACCAGTATAAACCAGTAACTGCTCATATAACAGCCTGGTATCCAACTCTGAACCCCCCTGTGCCCACCAGTACAGACCAGTATAAACCAGTACAGGCCAGTAACTGCTCATTTAACAGCCTGGTATCCAACCCTGAACCCCCCTGTGCCCACCAGTACAGACCAGTATACACTGGTATAGACCAGTACAGACTGGTATGGACCAGTATAAACCAGTAACTGCTCATATAACAGCCTGGTATCCAACCCTGAACCCCCCTGTGCCCACCAGTACAGACCAGTATACACTGGTATAGACCAGTACAGACTGGTATGGACCAGTATAAACCAGTAACTGCTCATATAACAGCCTGGTATCCAACCCTGAACCCCCCTGTGCCCACCAGTACAGACTAGTATACACTGGTATGGACCAGTATAAACCAGTATAAACCAGTAACTGCTCATATAACAACCTGGTATTCAACCCTGAACCCCCCTGTGCCCACCAGTATGGACCAGTATAGACTGCTATGGACCAGTATGAACCAGTAGGCTGTAAGGACCAGTTTAGGCCAACATGGACCAGTATAAACCAGTATGAACCACCAGGAACCAGTACAGGTGAGCACAGAACCCTCCTTCCATCACTAAAGCCCCCCCTCAGCTCCCAGTACAAACCAGTGTGAACCAGTATGTACCAACAGAGACCACAGTGGCCCACTCAGCCCTCCCAGTATAGCTGTGTGCTCCTCCCAGTGCCTCCCAGTACAGCTCAGTGCCCTCCCAGTCCCTTCCCAGTCTCACCTCGTCCCCTCCCAGTAGGATCTCGGTGAAGAACTGGGGGTTCGGGTGCTGGTTCTGGTGGGGGAGGAGAGTCAGAGCCTCCCAGTATGGACCAGTATGGGCCAGTGACCCTCCCAGTGCCTCCCAACATGGACCACTAAGGCCCAGTGCCCCACAACACAGCTCATGACCCTCCCAGTGCCCACCAGTGTATCCCAGTGACCAAGCAGTCCCTTCCAGTCCCTCCCAACTTCCTCCCCACCCCCCTCCCAGTGCCCCTCAATCCCCTTCCAGGCCCTTCCCAGTCCCTCCCAGTATCACCCAGTTCCCCCCCAGAGCCCTACAGCCCACCACAACATCTCCCAGTACGCCCCAGTCCTTCCCAGTGTCCCCCCAGCCCTCCTATAACATCTCCCAGTCGCTCCCAGTGCCCCACAGCCCCCCTATAACCTCTCCCAGTCCCTCCCAGTCCACTCCCAGTTCCCTCCCAGTGCCCTCCAGCCCCCCTGTAACACCTCCCAGTGCCCCCTATAACACCTCCCAGTTCCCTCCCCAGTGCCCCCCAGTCCCCCTATAACATCTCCCAGTGCCCCCCAGCCCTCCTATAACTCCCAGTCCCTCCCAGTCCACTCCCAGTTCCCCCCCAGTGCCCCCAGCCCCCCATAACACCCCCCAGTTCCCTCCCAGTGCCCCCCAGTCCCCCTATCACACCTCCCAGTCCCTCCCAGTGCCCCCCAGTCCCCTATCATACCTCCCAGTGCCCCCAGGCCCCCCATCACATCTCCCAGTGCCTCCCAGTCCACTCCCAGTTCTTCCCAGTGCCCCCAGCCCCCATATAAAACCCCCTGTTCCTTCCTAGTGCCCCCAGGCCCCTATCACATCTCCCAGTGCCTCCCAGTGCCCCCAGCCCCCTGTAACATCTCCCCAGTCTCTCCCAGTGCCCCCAGGCCCCCTATCACATCTCCCAGTGCCTCCCAGTGCCCCCAGCCCCCTGTAACATCTCCCAGTCTCTCCCAGTGCCCCCAGGCCCCTATCACATCTCCCAGTGCCTCCCAGTGCCCCGTGCTCACGGCCAGCAGCAGGTCGAGCTCTGCCTCAGCACCAGCACGTCGGCCGTGACCGAGAGCCACCTGGGGTCGGGACCCTCCAGGTGGGGAAGCTCAGCCCTCCCCGACTCCTCCGTGTACCCCAAGAGCCGAAGGACTCCCGACCCTCTGGGGACACAAAGGGGGGTCAGGGGCCAGAGAGGGGTTTGGGAGTGCTGGGAGGGGTGGAGGATTGGAGGGTCCTGGAGGGGGGTTGAGGGGATAAAGGAGGGGGAGGGGGGTTGGTTTATTTTGGGGTGCCCCAGATTGTTCTGGGCTCTCAGGTGTATTATGGGATGTACCTGGATGGCTCCCACGGTGGATTTGAACACGGGGTTCCCAAATCTCACCCCCCTCCAGTGCCGGGGGGGTCGGGGGTGCAGGAGGTTCCTCCCATATTTTTCCAGGATGCTCAGGGCTGTCCGGAGCCCCCCCAGACCCCGAGGGGGTCCCCCAAAATCCTGGGGGGCAAAGGAGGGGGTCAGAGGGCTCCCTGAAATCTGGGGAGCCCCCAAATCCCCCCAAAAAAACCCAAAACACACCCCAAAAATCACTCCAGAATCACCTAAACCCACCTGAAATGACCCCAAAGTCACCCCAAAATTGTTCCAACCCCCCGCCCGAATCCTGGGGGTGAAAGGGAGTGGCAAAGGCACCCCCCGAAATTTGGGGAGCCCCAAAATCACACAATAAACACCCCAAACTCACCCCAAATGACCCCCAAGCCCCAATTTGGAGGGGGATAAAGGATCAGAGGCCCCCCAAAACCTGAGTCACCACACAGACCCCCACACCAGAATTCCCCGAAATCCCCCTGAAATTCACCCAAAATCACCCTAAAAACCCAATTTTAGGGCTCATCCTAATTTTAGGGTTCATCGGGGGGTTCCCTCAAAACCTGGGGCACCCCAAAACCCCCCAAAACCTCCACAAAATCACCCCCAAAATCACCCAAACTCCCCATAAGATCACCCAAAATTACTCCAAAATCAACCAAAACCACCCCAAAGCCCCCCCCCAGACCCCCTATTTTGGTGTCCCCCAAATTTTGGGAGCTGATAGAGCAGTCAGGGGAGTCCCCAAAAATCTCGGAATCCCCAAAACCCCCTTTAACCTCACCCAAATCCTCCCTCATTAACCCAAACCCCCCAAATCACCTCAACCCCCCATAACCCAAATTTCTCCCCACCCCAATTTCAGGGGTCTCAGGGGAATCCCCCAATACCTGGGACACCCCAACCCTCCCCCCAAATCCCCATTAAATCCCCCCCAGAATGACCCCCAATTCACCCCAAACCCTAATTTGGGGATGGGAGGTCCACCAAACCCCCCCTAAAACCACCCCCAGCCAGCCTAAAACCCCCTTAAAGCCCCTCAACCTCCCTCTCCCACCCCCGATTTTCGGGGTCCCACCCCCCATTTTCGGGTTCCCCTCCCAAATTCTGGGGTTCCCCCCCTTTTTTTACCAGTTCCAGGTTGTCCCTCAGAGTTTGGCTCCGTCCAGGACCCGACACTTTTGCGGGGGGCAGCGGGACCCTCAAAATTGGGGTCAATTCGGGGGGCGAGGGCTCAGTGGGGTCTCGGATCAGGGCGGCCTCCAGGGCCCCCCGGAGACCCCCCAAATTAGGGGGGTGGGCTGGAGGGTCAGACATTGCCTGTAAGGGGGTAGAGGGGGGTTAGGAAGGGGTTTTTGGGGGGATTTGGGAGGGTCTTGGAGGGGGTTTGGGAGGGTTTTAATGGGGGGCCCAAGAGAACCCCCCTAAAATGGGGCCGGTCTGAGGGGGGCTGACATCACCTGGGGGTGATTTAGGGGGACGTGGGTGGGGATTGAGGGGGGTTAAGGGGGATTTGGGGGTTTGGGGGCTAGAGGGGAGCTGGGGGTGTAGCGGGATAAAGGAGGGAAGTTGGGGTGTTTTAAGGGAGTCCCGCTTGCAGACACCTCCCCAGACTGGTGGTATTTGTGGGGTTTAGAGACGTTTGAGAGGTGCTGGGAAGGTCTGGGGTAC